ATGGCTGGCCGTCCTTCGACCAGCCTCGCCGGGTCTCTTCTTCGCATTGGTGGACTCCTCCATGAGCCCGATATTTCGACGCATTTGACCAAATCTCGCACTTTTCAACCGAGTCTCCCAAAAAAAACATATTGGCTCAACCAAATCTTTGAACCAAAATTTTGAAATCGAACGGGATCCGACGGGTGAGTTAGTAGTTCTTGAGATTCCAAAGTGCTATAGTTTTTATAATTCCCCATCTAAATTGGAAAAGTCACTTAGAAAATATGAGCATATGGACCACTATGTTTATAGAGACCCTAGGCCTAAAGATTCTTTTTTCATTTATATCTATCTTGTAGTATTGGTGTTGCTTGCCGATGTGTGAGAGTTTATTTGCCCATCCTTGCACGACTCTTTCTGTTTGATCGTAATAGCTAGCATGCATGACAGTCTGCGGTTGGGCGCTTGGTTACACAGGCGTAAGTCGAATGCCACACAGTTGACCGCGTGCGTTGGCGCCAAGCCGGTTGTAATTTTACCTTTCGCGTTTCATTTGCCGATCTTTGATTGGTTTTATTGGTGTTGTTATTCTTTGTCGAATAGCAGGACACAAGTCTAATGGTTTGGGGCCTCAACCAATTCATAGCTTTGAAGGCCCCCTACCTCGATCGTAAAACTCAGTTGCGCTTGTTTCAATTCTATCGGTTTTGTTGCTTTCCACCTAACCCCTTGGTCTATATCGAATGTAGCGTATGATTTCGGGCGTTAACCAAGTTTTGGTTTTTGAGGTTCTTTTTCAGACTTTAGAGTGATTTCGAGCTAACTGATCATTTTCTGTTTTTATTGCTCGTCGCTGTATGTCAAACGATCTTGGGTTGTTGAATACAAGGTTTGGTGATTTTGAGTTTTAACCATTTTTGGTTTTGAGGGTTGTTGAATGCAATGTTTGGTGATTTTGAGCGTTAATCATTTTTTATTTTGAAAACTCACCACTAGCCCTTATAGTGATTTTGAGCTAACCAATTTCTTAGCTTTGTTGCTCACCGCTATGTGTTGAGCGATGTTTGAGACAATAGAGTAGGGTTTGGCGATAATCACTGGTCCTTAGAGCGATTTTGAGCTAACCAATTTCTTGGCTTTGTTGCTCACGAGTCACGACTATGTGTTGAGCGATCTTCGAGGCAGTAGGGTATAAGGTCCGGTGATAATCATCAGCCCTTCGAGCGATTTTGAGATAACCAATTTCTTGGCTTTGTTGCTCATCGCTATGTGTTAAGCGATCTTCGAGGAAGTATGGTATAGGGTCTGGTGATAATCATTAGTCCCAGAGCGAATTTGAGCTAACCAATTTCTTAGCTTTGTTGCTCACCGCTATGTGTTGAGCGATCTTCGAGGCAGTAAGGGAGATTTGTAATCTTCGCTTCAACCGAGCACAAATCAAGATCTCAGTAGGCGCACCAGGACGTCCAAGTTAGGCTGACCCTTCATTAGCGCCCTCATCATCTGCCGTCAACCAGGCTTCTCATTAAACAATTTCAATAAAGTGTGCCTGTAGCAGACATTACATTACAAATACTAGTCGAACATCCTAGCTCCTATATTTTCAAGAGATCATTACATTAGAAAAGAAAATGAAACCCCCTATCGACTACATTTAAAAGAAAGCATCATGCGACTCGAAATCCTTGCACGTTGGTCTAATGATAATACCTTTTGAGATGCTCAGTATTTCACGGCCTGCCTAGTGGTTTTCCTTTCAAGTCCTTTAGGCTATAAACTCCCTTTCCAAGGCTTCGGATCACCTCATACGGTCATTTCCAATTCGCCCCCCTCTTTAAATTCACGCCCTCCTGCCACCAAATTTTTTTCCGTAGTATCGAAGGGCTCAATTCACCCCCTTGAAGGCTCAAGGTCGAACATCATAGCTGGTGAAGATCCTTTCGTCCGTATACTATCAACATAACACTTCTTTGAAGACTGTTGATCACCCCTCACACACCTCACACCACGACTAGTTGGGAATTTCTTCACTTGGTGGTAAGTAGAGAAAATAGCTTAAGTAGCATTCAGCAGGGGTCGACTGTAGATTGCATTATACGCCATGCATTATACGCCATGGGGGTCTGACAACCAAAAAGTTCGTTAAGATCACTACGCGTACGGGGTAAGTACCCAATGTCACTGGTAGTTCCACAACTCCATCCGGTATTACAGTAGCACCTCTGAATCCTTGTAGAGGGTGGATACTGCTTTCACTTTTTCCAACGAAATTTTCAACCCCACAAATGCTTCCTAAGTGAGAACGTTCGCTGTGCTACCGTCATCAACTAACACCCTCTGGACATCGTAGTCCGCTATGTTGCCGACTATCACTAAGACATCATCATGGGGGGTTACAACGCCTATTAAATCTTCCTCACCAAAAGTGATGCTTTGATTGAACCTGACCTTTTTCTGAATGGAGCAGACCTCGACTGTGAGTGCATAGCTCTTTCTAGTCGAGTTTGAGTCCCCCCGCTGCGATATCTCCAATAATCACATTTATAACACCAGCCCTAGGCGGTGGTCGGTCATCAGCCTTCTGCTTGCTTGCCTCGATCATTCCTTGCGAACTTAGTCAAAAATCCCAACTTCAAGAGGCGCTCGATCTCTTCCTTCAAATGGATGCATTCTTTCGTGTCGTGCCCATGGTCTTTATGGAAATGGCAGTATTTGCTCTTATCTCTCTTACTGGTAGACACCGCCATCGATCTCGGCCAGCTCTTTCATGTCCCGAATTTTCATCAATATCTTGGCCCACGGAGTAATTAAAGAGGTGAAGGCTTTGACCTCCTCTCGCCTTTGCCTAACCGATCGATCCTAAGTGTACCCCCTGTTTATGCGCTCATTCCTCGGCTTGTCTTTATCAACGGGTTTTCACTCATCACCTATCTTTCACTTGTGACTTTTTGCCTCACATCCCTTTCTAAGATTTTTAGTGACATTCTCTACTTCCTCTGCATCAATGTACTTGTCACCCTTTT